TATTTGGGTATACTCGTACTCATCCCTTTTTTTAGGGTTATGGGTATCCAAATACTCATGATTTTTTATACGGGATGGAATTTGAGATCATGAATCGCTACTTTGGTTATCAGCAGGTTAGCCGTTAATATCCATTTGGGTATTACGGGTAGACGTTATACTCATTAGTCCAAAAACCCAAAACCCAAGCCCACTCCTACCCCAGCCCGCCTCCTGTTACCACCATTCAATTTCCCAAACGGCCAAACCCCCATGCCGAGCAGATTTCATTATGTGATATAAACCCTCCTATTCCTGCCGATGAAACTCAATTCCTGTCTTTTCCTGGCGATGAAACTCAATTCTTGTTGACGTCATATTATTAAGATTAAAAAGAAGAAAGGAAGCAGAAAACACTTAAAGAAACAACGAAACAGAAAAAGAAAGCATGAAGAAAAAACAAAGAGAAAGTTCCTTCTGGGTCCTAATTTTTTCAATGAACTGCAAGATTGGAACTTGTTTTTGCGCTAAATAAGAGGTCTAAGGTAGATGTTGGCCTGATTGGACGGGTATTTACGGATAGTATGAGTACCCGTTATCCGTCTCGTACTTGTAATAAGTACTCGTTAACCCATACAGGTTTGGGACATGGAATGGAAATTGTTCTCCAAATGAGACTTGGTACCCGTCCCATTGCCCACCCCTAATTATAAGTTCAGCTGTGAAGCCAATCATATTTGTCTCTATAATGGGACACACATAAAATTTGGAAAATATTATAATTATATATATATATATAATTCGAATATTAGATGTTTAATTTTTTTTTTGGTAGAAAAATGGGACGCTAGAAGGGCGCCCCTGCCTGCTGCTTAAATTAAACGAGATTGAGCAATGCTCAAGGAATCATACAAAGTCCAAAATGATAAACCTGGATCATTGATCCTGAAATCGTGGAAGCCTATGCTAACACCGTGACCCCTATTGGCTAAGAAGTCCGCGGCCTTGTTGCATTCTCTATAAGTATGGGAAATTTTAACTTCCCAGTTTTGTTGAACTAGCTCCTTGAATTGTTGAGCCAGGTTGAAATACCTGTGATCCGTCTGATTTTGGGAGGAGAGGATATTGACAGCAGTGGTAGAGTCCAATTGAAGGTGAACCTTGCGATAGCCTTTCCTCCACGCCACCTGTAGGCCACGAATCGCCGCTTTGATCTCGGCTCTGGTGATCGTGCAAACGCCGAGATTCTCCACGAAGGCGTCCACGCAACGCCCTGTCCAGTCCCGGATTAAACCTCCTGTTGCAGCAAGTGAGCCCGGTTGCTTGACCGACCCATCGGTGTTGATACTCATCCAGTCTGCCGGGGGTGGTTTCCACGCAAGCTGCTGCGAAGTCTTCGTCTGAGTCTGATCATGGGCCGCCCTGTCACTCACTTGCGCATTGCGGATAGTATTGGTCCAACACCTGATCCGATGCGCCAGGATGTGGTCTTCCTGATTCAAATTGTGGAAAGTCTTCTCGTTCCGTCTCTTCCAGAGGTACCAGCACGCCACTCCAAAAAGAAGCCCTTCCTGGTCACTCCCAAGGTGTGACTCTAACCAAGCTGTAAAACCAAGGCCGCAGGTAAGAAGAGAGTCACTAATCCCCAACAACCGCCATACCTGTTGTGAGCTGGGGCAGACACGCAGGATGTGTTCGATTGTCTCCGCCCCGTTGTTGCAGGTGGTGCAAGCCTCATTGCTCGTCAACTTCCTCCTCTTCCGTTCCGCATTCGTCATCAACCTGTCATGGAAAACAAGCCAAAGGAAATGCTTGATTCGGTTTGGTCTGGTCCATTTCCAAAGCTGCTTCCAATGGGGTTGAGGGTTTTCCCCATCCGTTCTAGGATCCGTGTAGCCGATCCAATCGGCTGCGGCATAGTAGGCAGAGCGAAGTTTAAATTTCCCGTCAGGTTCCATTCCCCATGCCGTGATATCTTCTCCCGAGCCTGCCACCGGTGGATCCGTACCTGCAATCAAAGAGATGAAATGTTGAGTCAGATGTGGTTCTATTTCCTTCCAATTCCACTCACCTTCCTCGGTGGCCATATCCGCCACAGTGGCTTGCCAATTGATGTCTTCCACTCTGTTGATGATGTGGTCCCGCAGGATGAGGCCCTCAGCCAGCCATGCCTCCGTCCAAAAATGTACATTGCGACCCTCACGGATATCCCAAACAATCCGTTCCTTGATGACCGGCCAGGACTCCACGATCCCTTTCCAAAGTCTTGAAAAGTTGCTCTTTTTCACGACTAGTTCACCTGCAGCATTAGATTTAAAATATTTTCCTTGCATCACCCGAATCCACAAGTCGTCAGACTTATTCAGGAAGGCCCAGCCAAGTTTCATAAGATAGGCGAGGTTCAGCGCCCTGGCTGATCTTAATCCGAGGCCTCCTTCCTCCTTCGGTTTGCATATGGTTTCCCACTTCACCAAGTGGGCCTTATGATGACCTTCCTCTGCTCCCCAAACGAAAGCCCGAATTTTCCTGTCAATGGCATCGCAAACCGAAATAGGAAGGACTGCCGTCTGCATCACATAGTTAGGCATGGCGTTCAAAACAGAGACTGCCAAGGTAACCCGCCCTGTCAATGAAAGGCTTCTAGCCTTCCAACCCGAAAGCCGCTGGTCAATCTTTTCCAAGATATACTTGTAAGTATTCTTGGTGGCCGTGCCATGAAGCACCGGAACACCCAAGTATCGGCCGAGATTGTTGGTGCGTTGGATTCCCAGCGTGTTACTGATTCTGGACTTGAGATCCTCCCTGGTGTTCTTGGAGAAATAGACACACGACTTGTCTTTGTTGACACGCTCCCCGGAAGCAGCACAAAAGCGGTCTAGGCAAGCCAAGATTTCTTCTCCTTGTTTCTGCTTGGCTTCCGCGAATAAAACCAGGTCATCTGCAAAAAATAAGTGAGTGAGAGGCGGTCCATCCTTAGACAAGGTAATCGGTTTCCAAGCTTTCCTATTAATGGAATCCTTAATACAGTGGTTTAGTCTTTCAATGCAAAGAGTAAACAAGTATGGGGAGAGGGGACATCCCTGCCGAAGGCCTCTTGACGGTTGAAAGGGTTCCGTGCAGCCGCCGTTCCACAACACCTGAAATCGGGTAGTAGTTACGCAAGCCATAACGAGATTGACAAAATCCTTTGGGATTCCAGTCGCCAGGAGGGTCGACTCAAGGAATGTCCAATTGATCCTGTCATACGCTTTGGCGAGATCAATCTTTAGGATCATGCTTCCTTTTGTTCCTGTCCGGATTGACATTGTGTGCACTACCTCCTGCAGAATAATTATATTATCGGTGATGTGCCTTTTGGGAACGAAGCTGGTCTGGTTCTGATCTATAAGCTGCGGCATGAATCCTTTGAGTCTATTAGCTAGGCATTTCGCTATAGCTTTATAGCTCACATTGCATAATCCAATCGGCCGAAACTGGGCTATTTGCTTCGGGTAATCCACCTTTGGCAGCAGCACTAGCAGAGTGTCATTGCACAGTTTAATCCGGTCCGGATTCCTGAAACAAGCAACCAAATGATCATAGAAATCTGCTCCAACATTTTTTATAAAAAGAGGTATGAAAACCATCCTTCCCTGGTGCTTTCAGCCCCCCCCCCCCCCCATTTCCTTGATTATTTGGAAAGTCTCTTCCTGGGACGGGGCTTTTGATAGGTTGGCTGTCATTGTCTCAGTAAGCACCTTGAAAGATGCTGGGATTTGTTGCTGCCCTGCACAATCATCGGTGAATAAGTCTACATAAAAGCTTCGCGCCATGTTCCTTAGCTCATCCGGATCCTCTACCCACGTCCCATCTGCTGCTTGTAATTTGGTGATTCTGTTTTTCCTCCGTCTCGTGAGTGCGGCTGTATGGAAGTATCGAGTGTTCCTGTCTCCGTTTAAAATTTGGTTGTTCCTCGCTTTTTGGAGCCACAAGAGCTCTTCTTGCCACAGAGTCTGCTCTAGCTCTTCCCGGAATTGCCCTTCTTTCTGCAGTGATGCTACCGAGGCCGAATTCTCATTCTAAGCTTCTAAATGGGCGAGCTTTGCAGTCAACTTAGCTTTCCTCAAAAATATATTACCGAAAACCTTCTTATTCCAGCGCATGAGATGGACCTGTAGTTCCTGCAAAGACACAAGAAAGTCCCTTCCTCGATGCCACGAGGCTTCAATTGTAGATGGGAAGTCTTTATGAGCAAGCCATGGCACAAGGAATTGGAAAGGTCTCACCTGCTTCGGCGGAACATGGTCGTTGTTGGTTTGAATGAGGATGGGTCTGTGATCCGATCGGAGCTTAGGCAGGTGACTAGTCAAGGTGTCTGGGAATAACCGTAGCCACTCTTGATTACACAGAGCCCTATCCAATCGCTGAGAGAGCGTCCCATTACTCCAAGTAAATTTCGGCCCACTGAACCCAACATTGAGCAAGCCACAATCCCTAATGCACGCGTTGAAATTGGAGGTCCTGTGGACATTGAACTGGGCTCCGCCGTTGCGTTCTGACGGGCACGTGATGGAGTTGAAATCTCCCGCCAGAAGCCAAGGTTGGGTGATACTTTGTTCGAGACGACGAATTGCCTCCCAGAGAGGATTGCGCTCGTGATCTCTTGGCTTAGCATAAATTGCAGTCAGAATGACAGAGATATTGTTCGGCCCTGTGCAATTGAAATGAAGAAACTGTGAGTCCCGGTCTAACTCAGTTATTGAAAACACATCTTCCTTCCACAAAACCCAAATCCCCCCAGAAAAACCAACAGCATCCACACGAATGTGCTTATCAAAACCCATAGTCCGAATCACATCTTCCGCGTCCTTGCCGCTAATACGCGGCTCTACAATGAAGACGAGATTGGGTTTATGTGTTGCCACATAATCTTTAAAAACAGATAAAAATTTTGGGTTTTTAGCCCCCCGGCAATTCCAGCAAAATATATTAAACATAGTAAAGGGATTAGAAGAAGAGCGCAAGAAACTCCCTGACACCAGTTAGGTCCCATGAGAATTAACCGTTCCACCCACTTCCTGGGTCCCAGTAATCTCCACCATCTTCTCTTGCTCGATATCCGGGACGGTCGAGCTTGCGGACATTAGATCGTTGGCCTCATCGGAGTTCTTTTCCTTACTTTCCACCATCGGGTGTTGTTGAGATTGCGGGAAGAGTTCCTCCGCCACTTCCCTGGACATGGGATTCCTATTCTTCTTTTGGAACCCTCGTTTCCCATTCTTAGTTGTAGAAGACGATCCTTGCCCTTTCTTAACCACCTGGAGATGCACAGTTCTTTTCTTTGTCGATTGCGAGCTCACCCCTCTCTGCCTTTTGCTGAAATGCTTTCTAATTGAGGCATTATCCACAACAGCATCATTAAGTGGTGGGGAAGGCAGAAGGGTGTTGGACGATAAGGTTGCTGGTTCCATGGCCTTGTGTATATCTTGATTTGGGCCATTAGTTTCCATCGTGATGGGCTCCGGTCCGAGTTTACTATCCATACGTTGATCCATTTCCATCTCGGAGTTTAGAGCTTCACTCGGTTTGGGCCCGACTACCCGCCAGGCCTGGGTGGGGTTGGGCTTCTTAGACTCATTGGCCGCACTGCTGTTGTTGACCGCAACCACCTTCTCTTTATTGCTCAAATTCTTACCCTTGTTGCCATCTCCCTTTCGTTCTTCTTTCCTTCCCTTCGCCTTTGAATCAGCTGTGTTTCCTTTTTCATTTTTCTGATCCGGAGATGATTTGGTTGCTGCCTTTCCTAAATTACCTCCTTTGCCCGTTGCGATTGCTGATGTGCTAGCTTGATTGGCGGGGCTTTCCTGGTTTGGTGACGCGATTTCCGCACCACCTGCATCCAAGGGCCGTATCCCGCCGGTGGTTCTGCCGGGATAGATTCCGGCAAGGCCAACTGCAAATTGGAGCCCGTCGACTGGTGCGCCGCCGCCGACTGGTGGAGCTTTGAGCATGAGGTTTCCGAGTGCCCAATTCGGCCACACTCAAAACAGATTTCTGGAATATTTTCGTACACCACCTGTTGCCAAAATCCATCCAGGCGGATCCGAGATTTCAGAGGTTTCGTCATGTCGAGTTCAACCGCAATTCTTGCAAACTTGCCACGTTCGAGGTTCTCAGTGTGATAGTCGAGTTTGACCGTCCTGCCCAGCAGGTTCCCCATGGCGAAGAGCACTTCCCGGTGGTAGAAATGGATTGGTAGTTCGGGTAACTGGATCCAGGCCACCACTGACCGGTGAGGTTTATCGGAAGTTCAGAAAGCAGGGGACCACTGGTGGACAACAAGATAATGATCCATAATCACCCATGGTCCGCCTGTGAGTGCGTGCAGATAGTCATGCTCGTTACTGAAATTGACCAGGAACGTGGCATTGTTCAGGTCCAGAATGTCCAGCGTGCCACTGGGCTTCCACTTCCATCTAATCTGTGAACATAGGTATTGGTACGAGATTGATCATCCCAGAAGCCGGACAACAAGTGTACGTTTCCAGGGGATGCAAAGACGTTCCCTGAGCTGTGCAGAAATCTTCAGCTCGGGCTCTCCCTGATAAGAACCCACCTCCAAGTCATGCGCCCCGATGAATGTCCATTGGTGTGTTGTGGATGGTGACTTCGTCGGCGATCCAGCTAACGCCGTTTTGTAGCTCAGGGGGGTGGAGCCCTGCGATCCAGGAACGGTCCCGGTAGGAGGATTTGGTTGCAATCCAGAAGGATCCGGTGGACGACCTGTCAGAGCCAGATCCGCCGCCGGAGAGTTGTCGGGGTTCAGAGAAAACGAGAGCATATTCCTTTTCGATTCTCTTTTAGTTTTGTGGTCTCTGCATCTAATATTAGATGTTTATGTAATACAATAAGTTCTACAATAAAAGAAATTTAGTCGGCCACATTACTAAAGAATATAGACAATAAATGTTTGTACAATTCTTTCCAAAAATAATTTTCTATTATATACAAAATAAAATGGTATTAACAGGTTATTTTATATTCTATGAATAATTAGTTGAACACTAATTTTCTAAAATATTCATTCATATATTTATATCATATAAATGTACACTCCTGTTTTGATCTTCTTGCTCCGTCACTGAATAAGTTACTAATAATTTGAAGCTCAATATTATTCCTATATTGTATATATATTTGTATTTGTAGAGTGTAGACCACACCTCATTTAGATAAAACTGATACATCATGTTGAATGAAAACTTAAAAAGAAAGTTTAAGCCTATAATAATTGCTAAGAGACTAAGTTAATTCACGCACACAATAATTCATTAACTCCATATCATTGCATATGTTTTTTTAGTTGAATATTTACATTGACTGTAAAATTATTGCATTAGGTGCATGTATTTATGTTAAGGGTAAACTGTAACTATGTATTGATTTTTTATTCATTATATAAAATGTGAATGGATGCATTAACCGAAATTTTCCTCATTTAATGATAATGTGATGCTAGATCGCTTAATCTGGTTAACAAATTAACTAAACCGTTTAAACTTTAGTTTGATTAATTTGGTTTTTGTATTAGTTTTGACGGTTGATTATGATATTATATTTTTTTGGTTAATGAAATTTAGACTTAGTTGAATTGATAATTACCATGATTACCATTTAAATACCCTTATATGGAAATGGCTAGATGCTCCAACACCCACCATACCCTTAGTACTTTTTAAAATATTTGGAACGAGATGAACAAGTATATAAAGCATAAAGATTCATAGAAACTGAATAGGCTACCATACAGAAAAACAACATAAATAAGGCAGGTTGGGAATCTCTCGACGATGCCGTCCCAAGTTCGGGGAGATAGATCGTAAAGGAAGGAACTAACCAAAATAGACCAGACAGACAGACGCCACGGGGGAAATTAAACAGGCGAAGAATGAGAAATAATGAATAGTCCCGATGAAAAGGGAGGACGCAGAAATAATAGAAGGTGGTCCTCGCAGAATTAGAAAGTGATAAAAAGTCGTCAATTCACAATTCCTTCGGTCACTGTCATTGATTTGATTACACTCTTCCGTCGTTTTTCACATACGTGTCCACCTCTCATTGCTGCAGGCGGTCCGATCTACCCTTTGGCTTACGTACACAAGACTCCATCAGGTCGCACGGTACGCCCTCCGCATATACACGTGTCGGCCTTACGCATCCTCTCTAGAAAAGAAATAAAGTAAAATGAAATGGAAATGAATTAGGATTAATAACTTATTTTGGTCCGAACTATTACCATATAATTAATTTTGGTGCGTGAGTTCAGAAATTAATGTTTTGATTTCAATTATGCAGCATATAAATTAAATTGGCCGAATGTTTGATTTGACCGTCTATTTAGACGGTGACCGTTAGTCAACGATCCAACTCACTACCATATCTGCACAAAACTAAAAAAAAAAAATCGAATTACAAATTATTTCTTATTTTCTTTATATAATTAATAAGCCACAAGGTTGTCAAACCTATTTGTGCCAGTGTGCCGGTTTAGCAAGTGGAATGGTTCGACCGGTGGTACATACCGGTTTGTGCCGGTTCATGGCGGTTAATATTAAAATAATTTAAAAATACTCATATTTAAGCATGACATTTAACGTCAATACCTAAATATTTGTACTTGAATCCAACAAATAACATCAACATTTAACTTTTTAACACATAAATTAAATAATAAATTACTTTTTATCAAATAAATTCACTAATATAAGATCATTTTACTTAGAGATTTGTATATTGATCATGCCGGTCATACCTGTGGTGTCATGCCGATTTTATGACCGGTACAAGTTGAACCAGGTTCAACCAGTGGTACGCCGGCCGCGCGTGACAACCATATTAACAACTAATGGTAAGAAAAAAATAAAATAAAAAATAAATTCAGAAACTCCTTCGTCTCCTCTGCCCTGTCTTTCTCCATCTCTCCGACCAAGTACTCATTTCAAATTGTTCTCGATACTGAACGTGAAAATCGCCGAACACCGCCACATCACCGCCAACGCCTCCTCCACCGTCAGATCCAGGCTCTCCAGGTACTTCGATTTCAGAACCAAGGCGTTCTCCACGCTGGACATGTGGAGGATTGAATCAGTGATTTGTATTGACTAGAATTGGGAGTTAAATACCCAAGATACAACTACACGTAGCTATGAAGTATGGATGGCAATGGGTCGAGTTGGGTCGGGTTTTGCCAAACCCAAACCCAAACCCATGGGTATCTGTAAAAAAAACTCGGAGTAAAACCCACTGGATTTGAAAAACTCAAACCGACCCGCTGGCTATCCGCGGGTTTATGGGTACCGACAGGTTTTTGTCGCAAAAAATTTACAAAAACAAGTTCTATCAAAATTAAAGTCAAATCCCAATCTCTCAATACAAATTATCCATATTTAAAACACAATTCTAGAAAATTCAAGCAAATCACAAATAAACTATACAAATTGTTCAACACTAATATAGAAAACTCAAGAAAATTGAAGCAAATCACAAATTATCCATAAATAACATGATTAATTGAAAGCTTCTTCCTTTCAATTAAGTTTCTTCACTCTCACTAGATAACATCAACTTCACTCTACACAATTATAAAAAAAATTAGACAAGTCTCCACATACATAAGTAAGATTAGTTGTTTAAAATATTAAATATACCATGAAAATTAATTATATGGGTGTATGCGGGTACCCATGGGTCGGGTTTATCTAAACCCAAACCCAACCCGATGAATAGTGAACGAGTTTAAACCCAAACTCGGCCCAAAATCCGTCAACACGGATTTTACCCGCGTTGACCGGGTTGGGTCGGATGGGTACCCGTGGGTTCGGATTTTTTGACATCGAGCCACTATAACAACCCACTATCTAAGGCTAACAATACAATAATTAAATAATTAAGTGTTATGCTTATCAAGACACGAGCAGCACGGGGTCGTGGTAGTAGAGCGATTTCAGATCGTGGGACCCTAATTCCTTCAGGTAATCGAGGCAAGGGCAGAGATGATCGGCGACGCTGCTGGTCAATAGGCGGGGGATTTGTTGATTACCTTGCGGAACTGGTTTGTCGGGAATACCGAGGTCCTTGGAGAGGAAGGAGAAGACGGGGGAAGGGCGTGGGGATGCCGGAGGTAAGGATCTGAGGACTGCGCTTGGTTTGGATTGTTGAGCTGTTGCAGTGAATCTGAAGGGGATGGTGTTGATGATATGCAGAGGGATGAGCTCAATGCTGCAATGGCGACTCCGGTGGATGACATGGTGGCCGTTGAAGATGCGAGCTGCCGGGGAATGAGTTTCATTTATGGTTTTGAGAGTATAAATCTACTCTTTACTTGTTCTTCTGTCCTGTGTGATGTGAAAATGGGGTTTATTTTGGATTGGAAATGGTTTATTCTTGTGTGATCTGAAAATGGGCAGAAAGAGGGATAAAGAGAGGAGGCGGTGGTGGTGGTCGTAGGTTGGCGGTTGGGACGGTGGCGTGGGTTGGGGGCAACAAAATCCGAACCCACGGGTACCCACCCGATCCAATCCGGTCAACGCGGGTAAAACCCGTGTTGACGGGTTTTGGGCCGGGTTCGAGTTTAAACCCCCTACACTATTCACCGGGTCGGGTTGGGTTTGGGTTCAGGTAAACCCGCCCCATGGGTACCCGCCCACACACATATAATTACTTTCCCGGTATATTTAATATTCTAAATAATATATCTTCTTTAAACAAATAATATTCTTTATGTTTGTGGAGACATATATAATTTGTTCTTTCTAATTGTTTAGAATGAAGTTGATATTATGAAGTGGAGAGTGAAGAAAATTAGTTGACGAGGAAGAAGCTTTCAATTAATCTTGTTGTTTATAGATGTTTATCTTTAATTTTGAACAATTTGTATTGATTATTTGCGGTTTGCTTGTATGCTCTAGATTGGTGTTTTTTGTATGATTAGTTTGCATGAGAAAATTGATGTTAAACTTTTATTTTGAAAAAACCTTGTTATTGTAAATTTTTTACCACAAAAAACCACGGGTACCCATGAACCCGCGGATACCCAGCGGGTTGGGTTGGGTTTGAGTTTTTCAAACCCAATGGGTTTTACCCCGGGTTTTTTTGGCGGATAAACCCATGGGTTTGGGTTTGACAAAACCCGCCCCAACCCGACCCATTGCCATCCCTAGTTGGAATCGCATTTTTTTTAATTTATTTTTTTATTAACAATAATTTTGAAAATGGATGATAAATTATTTTTATTAATTTATTTGATATTTTATTAATTTTTAATGTCTACGTGGCATCCACATTAGCGAAAAATGCTAATTCACTAACAGTCAACAGTGTTGACCGTCTAATTTGACGGAAATTCAAGAGACAGGCCAATTGAGTCTATATGTTGCATAATTGAGGCTAGGATGTTAATTTCTGAAACCACGGTCCAAATTTGATTATATGGGTATAGTTCGGGCCAGAATAAGGTATTAATCCAAAGAATTACCCAATCTATCGGGTGGCCAGAGTTTAGTTATTTTAATCACCTGATTCATATATTAGATTAAGACTAGTTTTGAGATTTTGGAAGTCCTGTTCAGTTGCTCGAATTATTTTTTATAAAAATCTAATAAAATGTATACAAAACATCAATTAATAAATTAGAATATTAACATTATTTAAAAATTATATCTATCTAATATGATTTGAAATAAAGAGTGACAATGATTTAAATGGAAAGATTTAATTAAAAAAAATCAATTATTTGAGATACTGAATAAAAATTTCAAATAGTAACTAAATTGACACTGAATCAATTAACTAGACTCACCTGAAATGAACTCTTTAAGTGCTCTGAGTCTAAAGCCTAAAGAAAATCCAAGCTCCCCTTCTTTCTCCCATATGCTACCTTTTTATATGCCCGACGGTACGAAATTCACGATTACTGTCCATGGTTGTGATATAAGCAAAAAAACGGTGATCTCAGTTGAAAACACACTATTTTTGGAACACTTCAAGGTTTGGGGTGATTTGCACGCCCCCAGCCAGTGAAGTGTGCTCTGCCCGTGAGATGAACAAAAGCTACTGGAAAATTGCACACTTCACAGTTTGGGGGAGATTTCCATTCACCCAGGGCGTGATATTTGCCTCTTATCCGTGAACCTTGCACAGAATCGACCTTTTGGCTCATATTGACCTCCGAATGGTTCGAAACTCGTCCCCGACCTTCCCACACGTACTAGAGCCCGAAATGTGGCAAAAATAGCACAATCTAGTGTAAAATATATCGAGGAACGATTATTTCCAGGTTAAGCAATTAAGATATAAGCTAACGGGGTAAAAGATGTGTAATTATGTCCGAATCGATTTCGATTATAAATTTTAAACAAGAGAAAATTTATGAATTGGATTTAATTATGGGTTTAAAACAATAATATTAAAAAATTAAATTCGAATGTCAAAGGAACAAACATATCACATGAGTGGAATACATGTCGCAATTGCCTTGTAACACACCGTTTCATTCGATCCCACATTTCATGGTAGTTGTTTAGGGGGAAGCAACACCCAAGTGAAGCTTCTCACCAAGAGTTTTCCACCACTTTACTTTTCGAGTCTTGCTTATCAATAGTAGATTGTAGAGATTTTTGCAAAACAACAATCCGCTTGATAATGTTTCAAACAATCGAAGTAGGGGTACATGGGCCGGCCCAGATTGATTTTTAAACATACTTGTCCTATATTGCACCCATTTAAGGTTTATACTTGGACCTTAGGTGGGATTATATTGTGATAGTTAGGAGTGAGTCAAGTTCTTGGCGCCGTTGTTGGGGAGCTTCGGTCCGTTATCTTGAAAAGATTGTTTGGGGTTAATCTAACTTTTATTTTCAGTTTTGATTGTGTGAGTGTTGCTTGTGCTAGATGAGTTGTTGTTCTTTCAAGTGTGTGCAGAGAGGTCTATCACCCGGACCAATCCGACACCTTTAACGCCACTAGACGAGAACATCGACCAGACTCTCCGACTCTTGGATCGTGAGAGAGAGTTAGTAGAAGCAAGAAGGAAAATTGACGAGAGGGGACATCAAGTTGGTCCTGGAGTTAGAAGAGTTGAAGTAGAAGGCGAAGTTGAAATGGCGGCGAATCAACCACAAGCTGTTAATCCACCTCCGAATCCAAATGCGGAGGCGGGAGCTGAGGAAGAACCAAGGACTATGGACTATTCCATGGCTAAACGGGCAGATGATTTTGAATCCCCCATCTTACATCCACCCGTGGCCGCCAAAAACTTTGAAATCAAGCCCGCCCTAGTCACGATGATTGAAAACAACGCCTTGTTTCATGGGCTTGCCAATGAATCAACGAGGGAGCATATTCAAAGGTTTCTTGAGCTTGCAGGAAGTTTGAAGATAAATGGCGTTTCTGAGGAGGCATTGCAACTGAGACTCTTCCCCTACTCTCTTGCGGGGAAAGCGCTCCGATGGCTCAAAAATCAACCGACTCTCTCGATTACCTCATGAGACGATTTGCTCAACAAATTCATAACCCGATATTGTCCTCCTTGCAAGACGACCGAGTTGAGGAAGAAGATTACTCACTTTGAGCAAGAGGAGGATGAGACATTGAGGGATGCATGGGAACGATTCTCTAACTACTTCCTCCAATGCCCTCACCATGGGTTCGAAGAGCAATTTCACATAGAGACTTTCTACGACGGTCTCATTCAAGATTACCATATCCTTATCTACTCTCTTTTCCAAGGGAGGTTGATGAACATGACCCCGCCTCAAGTGACCAAATTGTTTGAAGATATGGCTCTGAAAGGTTATGGTTGGGGCTTGACGAGGAGTGGTAAGACAAGCACCGAAAGAGGAGTGAGAAGTGTGGGAGTAAGTGCTTCACTTGAAGCTATGATTGACAAGTTGATAGAGTCAAACTTACAACAACCATACCAAACACAAGTTGGTCAAGGTTTCCAACAAAAACAACCAGTCGACAAGTTTTCGAAACTGGAAGATCTAGTCACCACCTTCGTGAGTACAAGCTCTCAGAAGTTCGAGAAGATTGAGCAATTCATGGATGTGGAAAACTCCAAGTTTACCTCGGTGAAGGCGGGATCCTTATCAAGAGACCAAAGGGAACTGATAGACCATTGATTGCACATGTTTTTACCCCTATTGTTAAGCCGTTTGAGATGTTGATTCTCGTGTTTTAAGCAGATTTCACGCTAGATTGTGCGTTTATGTCATATTTCAGGACTTAGCATAGGCATCGAGGCGAAAAAACGAGTTTCGGGTCGAAAGGAGCACGTTTGGGTTGAAGTGTACTGGAGGAGCAAAATACCCGGCCATGAGCATAAATACCCGGCCGGGTATTATTTGGAGCAGACCGGGGAAAATATGTTTTGGGCGTCTGAGAAGCAGAAGGGGGCCCGGGCAGTAATCATAAATCCCCGGTCGGGTATTCTTGGCCCAGACCGGGGATTAACCCCTGTTCCCCGACGGTGCATTTTGAAGATACCCGGTCTCCACCCAAAATACTTGACCAAGTATTCAGACTGGGGATCGCGACAGACAGCTTCTTGAGGGAAAAGAAGGGCAAAAGTGAAGGGTTCCGAGTTTTAGAGAGAAAAAGCGATACCTAGAGAGAGAGAGAGTGACAGACCTGATTTTGCAAGTGTCCTTGATCGATCTCCATCACCATTGGATCCCGGCTGGAGCTTGGAGAAGAGCTGATTGAGTGCCAGAAGCAGATTCTCATCCTTCACAGTATGGTTTCCGCATCTGAGCTAGATTTCTCATCTCTCTCTATGGATTAACTTTCTTATTCAGCTAGGTATGAAGAACCCTAGATTTGTATGTTAGGTTTGATTGTGTGAACCCAAGTACAGATTAAGTGATATGATTATATTCAATTGAGGTTTGATTTGTTGAATGGCAAGAATACTGATCAAATTCCTGGTGTTTCTGCTTTAACCTAGAAAGAGAATTTCTGCCTAGGTTGATAGAGCACCCTTTGGGGTGGTTTGGATGCAGGATTTTAATTTGAGGGATTTGTGAAGGATTTGGTTCTAAATCTCTCAACTAAAAAACCAAATATTTGTGATTAAGGATTTGTATCAAATCTCTTGTTTGTTTAGAGATGTGGGTTTTTAATGAAAAAACGAAAATTTATATTTTGTCCTTCTTGTTCACCTTGTTCTTCGTCGCAAGCAGACCTGCGAGACACAGAGATCGCTGTAACCGACAGGTGGATCTGCGATCGGGAATGGACAAGGAAGGA